CCACAGAAAAATCAGCTGGGGGCTGCGCGGAAGTGAGAAGCCAAAAAAACCTAAAACCCATAAATGGCCAAAAAAATCTAAAACCCACTGACGTTGTCCTTGACTGAGAAGGAGAGAAACACTCCCCATATTCCCCTTGCACACCGCAGCTGGGGGGGGGGAGCAGGCTAGTAGATTTTGTGTGCTCCAGCCCAGTGTTGAGGTAGCAGGGGGGCTGGAGCACCAGCATGTGTTCCCTAGTGTTGGTGGGGAGCCCAGAGCCTTGGGAGCCAGATCCAGGCAAGCCAGGGGCTGCATTCTGCCAGTCACGTAGCCTTACCTTGAGCTAGGTTAGACGCCGGTAACTATCCTAAAAGTATTTATTTGCACTATGACCGTGCTTAAAGAGATCCAGTAACATGAGGGGACTATTGTGCTGTACAAACAGAGCACAAGGCGCGCACTCTGCCCAGAAGAGAGCACAGAACAGTGAAGTGACTTGCTCAGGGTCATGAAACATGTCAGTAGCAGAGGTGCGACTGGACCCCAGTCTTCCTGAATCACAGTCTATTGCTCTAACCACGGAACTACACTGCCACACGTTATTGTAGGAGCCCCAAGTATGCCAAAGCCCCACTCAGCTATGTGCTGTATAAGCAGAGAACAGAATGTCTGGCCCTGCCTCTCATTGCTTAATCAGCTGAGCTGCGTCCGTGCAAGACTAATTGTTGGCGGACTTGACAGATGTTGCTGTTACTGACACACGCTTTTATGTAGGGAGATAGAGCTTCTAGTGAAGTCGCACGAAGGTTACGCATGGCAAAGTGCTTGCTAGCACAAGATAAAGAAAGAAAGAGAGAGAGAGAGAGAGAGAGAAAAGTATTTTCCTGCGTAGGGAGAGGGAGGCTTCATCATTGCAGTACTTATCAGTTACGTAGCTCTTCTGCCTCATTGTACAAATATGAATGAATCTTCACAGCACCTCTGCCAGACATGTGGCCCCATCCCCATTTCGTAGCGGGGAAGGGTGGATCCAGGCTGCGACAGCCCATCATGCTGGAGAATGCTAACAACATGGTGTGAATAAGAAGCTATACGGCCTGGCGAGAGTTAAGGATTAGACACTGTGTGCGTTTGGTTTGCTGCCCTTCCATCTAGTGTGAAATCACTTGACTCTGTGTTCTTAATAAACTTAGTTTTACTGCAGACCAATGCACTGTGTAGTAACGGGAGGTGTCTAACCCAGCTGAGAGATCTAGCTGTTCTATGCAGGGACGGTGTGGGGAGCGTCAAAGCCGTGACTGGATACTGCAGGAGATTCAGGCGATTTGAGGAGATTCAGGATCGGAAGGTCTTTTAGGGTCATCCAGCAAAGGAGAAACTGGGTGATGGAAGCGCAGGGTGAAACCTTGTTCTGTTGGGCATGGTGCTGGGTGTGAGTTCACGAAGCAAGAGCATCACAGCCCATGGGCACCTGACATTTCCAGGCAGGTAGGAACAGACCCCCTTATAGAGGTGGGTGAACTAAGGATGTTAAGGACTAGTCAACAAGTTGACTATCCGATAAGCAAATGCTTATTGGATAATCAGTCAACTAGTTGTTCCCCCCCCCATCCCTGCTGCCTCTGTCAGATAGAGGGGAGAAATGGGGTACTTCAAAGCGGCAGCGCCGCACAGACTCCTGGTACAGTCTCCATGTGGTGCTGCCGCTTTGAAATGCCATGGTGGCATTTCAAAGGGGCTGCATCACACAGAGCCCAGGCTGCTGCTTTGAAAGGCTGTGGCGGTGTTTCAAAGTGGCAGTGCTACGTGGGCCCTGGGGTCAGCTGGGGACTCCCTAGCTGACCCCAGGCTGCGTGCGGCATTTCCACGGAACCCAGAGTCAACTGGGGAGTCCCCAGCTGATCCCGGGCTCTGCACGGCATTTCAAAGCAGCAGTGCTACATGGAGCCTGGGGTCAGTGGAACTTCCCTGCATGTGGAGTTCCAACTTTGAAATTTCAAAGGAGGAATGCGGAAGTGCCTATCAAGTAGTCGATGGAAATTTCATCGATATTTAACATCCTTAGGGTGAACCCCCAAAGCATCACGCAGGTGCAGACTTGCCCAAGGGCTCTGAGAGTTGGTTTCTGCCAGAATTGCTCGGACGTTTTGGCGTATGCGTTTGCATTCCAACCACGTCCGGGTTCTGCCCTCACAAGGGCAGTTGTATGCGGTGGAGAATTTCATTGTCAGGGCAGCTGTGTTAAAGGAGCTGGTGGGAGGATGAAGGGAGTAATGAATGTAAATGTAGAGAAGGAGAGGGTGAAATGACTTCTTGCAGCCCTGAACCCCTCCCTGTGCATGTCACCATGCACTGGCCCTTATTCAGCCAGGCTCTTAGGCCGGTGCTCAGACATGTTTCAGTGCCTGGCTGAGTCCTAGACCTGGAAGGAGAGCCACACACATAGCCCAGGTGCGAAGCGAGGTCATGTGCCTGTCTGCCCACTGGTAGAGGTGCTTTAGAGAAGATGTGTGTAAGTCAAGTGTCTCCCTTCCCTTCCCAGGATCTGAAGAAGTACGGCGCCACGACAGTCGTGCGGGTGTGCGAAGTGACCTATGACAAGACTCCCCTGGAGAAGGACGGCATCACAGTTATGGTATGTAGCCTTTTCAGGGCTGCTGCTCCTGGCCAGGGAGCCTCTTTTGTCCCACACTTCGGGGATGAGCCAAAGCCGCCCTGGGAGGCTTCCAAACCTCCCTCAGGTGTGAAAGCCCTGCGGAAGCCGACCTGTTACAGTACGGGGGGAACTTGCTAGATCCGTTCTTCTCTGGAGTTACTGTCCGCCCTCTCTCGGGCGCCACCTTCACTTTTTCCTGGCTTCCCTTTTCCAACATGTGCCGCTATAAACCACAGCGGAGCCACGGCCACGCCAAACTCCGTGGGGTTCAGAGCAATCTGGCTCCCACCTGGGCTGAAAGAAGCGGGCCACACCAAGACATCAGCCCAGCTGGGAGTCTAGATAGACAGTAAAGACTAGAGAGGCTAGACAGCTAGTGACAGCTGAAATACGTACCCTAAGCTGAGAGCGATGGGAGCAGATGCCACCGCTGGGAGTTCCTTCCCTTCCCAAGGCACTGATGCCCAAGCTTGGATAGAACCCACTAGCCCCAGTCTCTCCCATATGTTTCATTTCTGTAAATATCTGCTTTGCTGCCCTCTCCCACCCTTCCAGTAACTCATCCGCCAACGACTGCCGTTGGAATTGATGCTTCAGTTTGGCCGTTATTATGGCTTCCATGAAGTGTGTAGTTGTTTTATGATTCAATGCAGTAAAGCTCCGTAAGTGGAAAGGAATAAACCCCCGTGTTTCGCCACCAGCTGCCGCCTTGTATCTCGTAATGTGCGCAAGTTCCTCCAGGGGAGCATACCACTTCTGAGAGATGGATGGAGTGAGCACAGGACGGAAAGCCAGGAACTCAATCCTGTTATGATCGTAGAGCTCCAAAATGCACAACCCCCTTCCTCCCCACAAGAGTGAAAACAATGCAAGTAGAAGTCGAGCAGCAGAAGGGAGGCTGTACAATTTATTGCACTAATGCAGCATGTGTGGTTGCCTACTTTGTCGGCAGGCGACCTGTATCTCATTCAGTGCAAGCAGCTCATGCCACTTCTGAGACCAAATATGGCTTCTTCAGACCAGAGTGGCTGACCAGCAGGAGTGAAGGGACACACAGAAGAGACTTTCTGGGACAGCCTCTGCTGTTGAGAAAGATGAAACCCTTGAGGAAGGAGAATATGAAGTGGGAACAAAGGGAAAGGATCCCGTAGTAGGGACTCTCCTTCCAGATGGTGTTATGGTATCTCCTCAAACTGAGGTTCTCTCTCTTGGGGAGCGGTGAGGAGTCCTGTGGCACCTTATAGACTAACTGAAGTGTTGGAGCATGAGTCTTCCTGACATGCATCTGACAAAGTGGGTCTTTGCCCACGAAAGCTTATGCTCCAAAGACCCACTTTGTCAGATGCATGTCAGAAAGACTCATGCTCCAATACTTCTGTTAGCGTATAAGGTGCCACAGGACTCCTCGCTGCTTTTGCAGATTCAGACTAACACGGCTACCCCTCTGATACTTGTCTTGGGAACCCCTGTTATTAGGAAGAGACCAATAATAATCATGGAGGATTTGACTATTAGAATATAAATAGCTGGGTTTGTGATGACCAGGCGAACCTCATTGTGAATTGCCTGCCAAGTGCAAAGATTACGGATCTCTTGAGACATCTAAAAAAACAGCAAGCAAATGGTCTGGTAGCACTTTAAAGACTAACAAAACATGTAGATGGTATCATGAGCTTTCATGGGCACAGCCCACTTCTTCAGATGACCGGAGTTATGATTAGAGGATAAGGAAACTGGAAATAAATAGGAGAAGGGAAGGGAGGGGGGGGGAGATGTTCTGTTGCTCACCCCCCTACCTCTGTGCATAAAGTATCAGGAGAAAGGGTGTTAAACCTGAGTAGATAAAGATCAAAGTGAATGGATGGATAAGGCAGGAAGGATACCATTAGGAACCATCTACATGTTTTGTTAGTCTATAAAGTGCTACCAGACCATTTGCTTGCTGTTTTTTTCCTGTAACAGACTAACTCGGCTACCCCTTGAAGCTCTTGAGACATCTAGACAGACTTACATGGAGTGTTGGGGAGGAGCCATTAGTCACGGCACAGGGAAAAGTGGCAGAAAGATGGCGGAGGACAAATTTAGGCTGCTAAGTCCAGGATGTCCATGGGAGGCAGCATTCTCTTAAATGTTTCCAGAACCATCCATCAGGCCAGGTAGGCAAAATGTCAAGGTCTCAATGTGTTGACGAGATGATGGTGTTGAGAGGGGGGATTAAGGTTGATCAGGAACGGGAGAACCTTTTGGGATAGGAGGAGCCTGAACAGGAGAGATGGGCTCCACTTAAATCAAAATGGAACTAGATCGCCGGCGTGGCACATTGAAGAGGTCACAGAGGAATTTTTACATTGAGGGAGGGGGGGAAAGCCAACCGGTATGGTGGAGCACACGGTTCAGAAAGACACAACCCTTAGGGGAGGATTTATTACCTAGATCGTATTAAAAAGGAGAATGAGGAGTAGATTAAGTACAGGTAGGAGCTGCAGAGAAACATTCAAATGAGAGTCCCCTTCAGTTCCATCACATGAAAGTAGGCAACTAAATACTGACAGATTTTGTAAGTGCTTGTACACAAATGCTAGAAGTCTAAATACAAAAGTGGGGGGACTTAAGCGAGCCTGCCAGGCTCTTGCTACAGTTTAAAAGTGGAAGCCCCGCAAGGAGCATGGGGCCAGCAGGAGACTGGCCCCACACCTGAGCCTTTGAAATGTGCAAGAACCCTACTGGATCTCTTGTACGTTTCAAAAGCAGAATCACAGCAGAACCTGCGTGAGCAGAGACAGCTTCAGTCCCTGTTCATGCTGTTTCCCTCTGTGCCTCTTCCTCCCCTGCCCCCCACGGAGACAGTGCTGGCTTTTAAGCTGGCTCCCCCCAGCACCAGTTCCTGCTCCCTCCCCCTTGCTCCCTCTCTGATCGAGGCATCAGGGAGAGGGGAAGCGACTAGTCACATCACTAGTCACATCACTAGTTGACTATCCGATAAGCTTATGCTTATTGGAGATTCAACTAATTGCGTACATCCCTAACTTAAGCACTTGGTTCTAAATGAGGCTCTGGATGTAATAGGTATCAGAGAATGATTCAGTGGTACACTGTAACACCAGTTTACAAAATGCATAGAAATTGCAAGGTCAGAAAGGAACGCTGTGTGTGAAAGAAGCATAGAATCCAATAGAGTAAAAGTCCTACATGAATCAAAGAGCACCATAGAATCTCAGGATAGAAATGCTATGCTT